TTCCCCCACCAAGGCAGGGGGGGCCCGAAAAAAAAAACTTTCACCATCATTCACTCCATCACTGTCTTGCAGAAGGTGCTTTACACTACATTTTTAAACTGCAACATTAACACCCCTCCTTCAGAGTGCAGGCACTGTATTTCCCATCTCCAGGACTAAAGTCCGGCCTCCCGGTTTTCCCCGAATCCCTTCATAAATGTTATTTTTGCCCACCCCAACAGCCGTCAAGTATTAAAAACCTTTTGTTCCCATTCCCTCCTATAAAACACGCTCACCATGCCTCGGAAAGTCCAACCCCTCGCAAAACAAAACCTCCTTTAAACCCCCTCCCTCCAACCCTTCCAGGCCGACCCCTACCCCCCCCTTCCTTCCACACAGACTGATACACTCTTGAAGCATTCTGTTTCGCTCCATTCCTCTACATGTCCGAACCACCTCAAAAACCCCTTTCCCTCACCCTCGGAAAACCCTTTTTGGTAACCCCCACCCCCCCTAACTTCCAAACACGAATTCTCGCTTATATTCACACCACACATTCCCCCAAACTACATCTCCATGCCCCAGCCTTCTCCTCGCTGCAAAAACTCACCCACCTTCACACCCAATAAAGCTTGGGTAAAACTATACTCTCAACATTCCCCTCTTTGCCCCAAAGGAAAAAGTTTTTTGTCTCCACAGCTCCTAAGTGCACCACTCACTCTTTTTCCCTCATAAATTTCTATATTCCCTCATTTTTCATAGACCCACCGGACACGCCCCACTCCCAAATACTGAATACTTCCCCCCTCCTCCATACTCTCTCCCCCCAAATCTGAATTTTTCAATCTTTCATAAAATAACTTTTTGTTACCTCATAACCTTACCTTTCCTTTTTCACCTTTAATTTTTCTTCTTTTGCACACCCTACCAAATTCATCCCCCAATCTCTGCAACTTCTCTTCAAATCTCCCAAGAGCACAGGTCATCAGCAAAGAGCAGCTTTTGACAACCCCCATTTTGGTGTGATTCTTTATCTTTTAACCCACGCCTTTTGCCAAGACCCCCGCTTTTACTTCTCTTACAACCCCATCTAAAATATATTAAACAACCACTGACATCACACACCCTTTGTCTAAGGCCTACTTTTACGGAAAAAATTTCCCTCTTTCCTACAACCTAATTTTGACCCTCACATCCTCGTAAAAACCTTCACGCTTTCAGTAACCTACCCCTACACCATACACTTGCAACATCCCCACATTGCCCCCCATCCACCCCCCCGTCATACCCCTTTTTTCCAAACCCAAAAAAATGCCAAAAAGACCTCTTTAGCCTATCTAAATACTTTCACTTATATGTTTCACGAAAAACACCGGGTCCACACACCCCTACCTTTCCAAAAGCCTCCTTTTCACTCTATCCTATTCTCCGTCATCTTAATTCTTTCAATTATAACCTACCATACACTTTCCCAGGTCACTCAACAGACTTATCCCCCATAATTTTTTCACTCCTTTTATCCCCCTTTTCCTTTATACAAAGAACTATCATGCTCTTGCCAATCCCTAGACCTTAACCCTCTTTCCCTACAATTTTTTAAATAAGCACCAACCACCCAAAACACATCCCCCCCTCTTTTAACATTTCTATCTTTATCCCATCAAACCCCCGGGTGCCCCTTTCCCCCCTTTTATTTTACCCACTGCCCACGAACTTCCCCCCCACTCACAAATGGCTCTTCCTCCCCTCCCACAAAGATGTTATTCCCCTTTTCCCTAAAACACGAAATCACACTTCCCTATCTTCCCAACATTAAAAATTCCCCAAAAATTCCTTTCCCTCTTCCCAATACCCAACTCTCCATTTAAAAACTCTCCTCTCCATTTTTTAAAAAAGACAAAACCATTTGTTCTCTAGGTTTTTACTGTTTAACCACTCCAAAACCTTTTTTTTTTATTTTCAACAAAATTTTTTGATAACATCTCACCCACTTCTCTTTTTCTCCCCTTTTTACATTTCTTCACCACTCTCTTAACTTCTCTCTTTTTTCTCCAATACTCTTTTCCCTCCTTCATCACTTCTACTTTGAAAAATTTCTCATACCATTTTTCTCCCTTACTACTCCTTTACATCACATTCCACCAATCGCTCCCCTTCCCCCCTGCAACCCCTTTCCCGTAACCACAAACTTCTGCTGAACACCCTAACACTACATTTTTAAACCTCCCCATACCTCTTTGACCCCATTGCCTTTGCTCTCATTAGCCCCTCTATCCTCCAATACTGTTTATATCTTACCCTAACTGCCTCCTCTTTTAGTTTTTAAACCTTTCCTCTCCTTTCCCCCGATGCTTCTATTTCCTTTTTATCCCATCTACCTTTACTCTCATGTAGCTACAACTAGAAAGTGATCTGTATATCTGTGGCCCTTATAAACATGTACACCTGAAATCTACTCAACGGGCTTTTTTTCACCAATACATAATCCAACAAACTCTGTCATTTCGCCCTACATCATATCGTGTATCTTATTTATCCCTTTTCTTAAAAAAATGATTACCATAACTAAACCCCTTTCTATACAAAATTCAATCAAAGGGCTCCCATTATCTTTACCTGGCACCCCAAACTACCTACCACAAAACCCCCTTAAAAGTTTTTTCCCCACTTAGCATCAAGTCCCCACCACAATTACTCTCTCACTTGGTTTCAAAGGTCCATACATTTACTTAACATCTCCCAAAATCTCTCTCCTCCTCTCATTCCTCTCTTCTCCAGGTGCTACACGCTTATTAGACCCCCTTCCGCATCAACCTTTACTTTTAAACCACATAATTCTTGAATTTACACATTTATATTCTCTTTTTTCCTTCCATAACTGACATTTAAATTACTGCTACCCCCTTCCCTTTGGGTCTAACTCTCTCAATACCCAATTTTAAACCCCTTTTTTTCCCCCCACGAAACTCTCCTACCCCCTTCAGCTTTGTTTCGCTTGGGCCAGGGCATCCAACTTCTTTTCATTCATAACATCACAATCACTGTTTTTTTGCATCCCACTACATCCCCCCCACATTTTAAACAACCCCCGTTTTTTTAAAGTTTTTCTTTTTTCTCTTTTTTTGTAATTGTAACAGGGGAAAGGGGGGCTAGCCCATTGCTCCCCCGGCATTTTAGTCCCCCTCATACACACGCAGGCTACGGAGGGAAAATCTTTTTCCCCTTCCCCATGGACAATAGAAGAAATAAAAAAAAAACAAGAGCTATTTAGAAAAAGGGGAAAAACCGATGTATGTTTAAAATATAATATGCATGTGCGGTCATAATGTACCAAATGTAAAAATAGGGGTAGCAAGAATCCCTTTATCTTTTGCGTGTTTATGAGACAGAAAAAAAACCAGCAATCCTACCATCATGCAAAACCTTTTACAGGTTTTTTTTTACATCATCTGGAGGAGGGTAGACTTCCCGGGGTGGTTCCCTGTTACCAACCACACCTTTTAAAAAACACCTTTCCATCATCATTGCCCAAGTTTAAATAAGATACCCCAACAAAAAAATGAGATAAAATTTCCCAAGAAAGAGCAAGAATCCCCTCACCATCGTCAAGGCACCCAGGCCCCCTTGAGTCTGCTCGCTTAGGGAAAAATTTGCTCGCGTATGGAAGAAAAAAAATGCCTATCGACTGCTCGTTTTTGGGAAAAACTTGCACGGGGAGCCTCGCATGTAGAGGTTCCACCGTACTATAATGCCAGCTGCTCATCTTTTGCCACCTTCAAGGATCAAAAAATTATTAACATTTACCGGATCTATGGAAGGTTGACCATTTCTCTTACGCCCTCTTGAGGTTTTTTTACCCAAATTTTCTTCCCTTTGGGAATTTTGAGGTCACTTATTATGCCTCTTACAGCCAGTGGGGTACACTTAAATACCTTTTACATCCAGGAAGTCACCTACTAACCTTTTGCATACGAGTACACCTACTAACCCTTGATATTGAAGTACATGAGACTAGAGTTATGGGATAGGGGGATACCTTTCCAGATCGAACAGAAATCCAGAACACATTTGTGGTCGTTCATGGAAGTGCTCACTGAAATTGCTTATTCACATACAACAAATTTAGGCGTTGCAATTAAAGTGAAGCAAATCTGAATCCTCAGAAAAACGATAAAAGTGCTGTATAAACTCCACTATCCTCTCATTTCACAGAGACGCAGACGCGGCATTAGATATCTTCAACACCCCCAAGAAACACTCCCGAGAAGAGATACATATCCTCCCCAACAACTCCATTCCCAAACTTTTCCAACATCTTTCCCAAAACATCTTCCAAATACTACCTCCACAACCACGACCATCAAAGGGCATCAGTATAACAGGACAACCTCCCCTCTGCAGGGTAACATAATCCCTTGTAATGACGCAACAAATTTTATTTGGGGGAAAATCAGAACCTCCAAAAACGCTTTTAGAACACCAGATGCAACGGCTTACGAACAAGGGAAATGCCTGTTACACACGCAATTCACAAAACCATTTAATTAACACAGAAACTCAAGACTTAAGCCACAAAGACAACACTCAATCAGAAGAATCCGAACATCGCTTATCTCTATAACCAACAATTTCAACCAGAACAATGGCTTCTATAACATAGCTGAACCACTCGCCAAGAAACTTCTTCATCGCTATCCCATGGAACATTGCAGAAGGTCTACAACTTGTCCAATACCCCTGCCAAGTTACCCAAGACTCTATAACCCCACCCGGTAGATCATCAGATGCAGCATTCTCCACCTGACCTCAACATTCTGAACATGACTATAAATACTCTCGTACCTTCCAACCCCAGGTAGATCCGTGTGTGACTTGAAAAAGTCCACTGTGTGGGTGAAACGTTGTCAATAAAGGATCACATTATACTGCATTTGTGTTTATATTTCCATACACATATAAAGTTGTTATTGAATGAAAATTACTAATACGAGTACTCTTTGTAACTGTTGTTTGACTGACAGGTGTGGTTGTTGGACCAGCTTCCAGGTCCCAGAGGTCTTCCAATTCTGGGCAACTTACTCTTCCTCAATGTGGAACCATCAGGTAATTATCACTACAGGTCATTCAGCCCCCCCCACCATGTCCCAGGTAAGACTATTTTTTTTTTTTGGTCTACATCTATGGTTTGGCTGAACGACCGAAAAAAAAAATTTTCAGTATCATTCTTGAAAAAATAGTATTCTTTCTTTTTCATTTTTTCTTTCTATATACTCACTAACTTTATTGTTTTAATAATATGTTCTTCAGCTTCTGTATTTGTACCAAAAATATCAGTAATGTTATAGAGAAACACGAAATATGTATTTAAAATGGATGTCTTCTTGATTAAATAATTTTAACTTGGGTATGTCTCAGAACTCTTCCAGAGACTCATGAAAGTGGCAGGAATGGGTGAAGTTGCCAGGATGTGGCGGCTTCACATTGCCTTACTGTTTTCTCAGCAGTGCCAGAACAGTGGAGGTAAGTGGCACTTTATTCACAGGTTGGATATGGCAATTTTTGCTAAATATAGCAGTAAGTGAAAATGTATTTGTTATATAAAACATGCATGCACACACAAACGCACTCGCTAACAAACATACATGTTATTACAGTTATCTTTCAAATGATAACAGATACTATGTTCCCAGCAGTATAACTAATAAAAAATGAAAGAGGAAACAGGGTAGGCAGAGTAGTTTCACTTCTAATCAGAAATCAGCAGAGATTTGAAGAGACGAGTGGGATTAACATAAATTGGTCAAATGACAACATAGTGGCATAATCAATATTGTGGACCCAAAGTAGAAGCATCAATGATCTCTGACTGGCCATCAGATGGCAGAAAACCAAGACAGGAATATTAAGAAAGCAGCAAAACATTAGTTGACACCATGGCAACAGTAGGAAGGATAGCTCATAGGGTTCAAACGAAGCTAATGATCATGGGTGATATCAGCCACGATGAAACAGAATGGGAGAACTGAAACTTACATGGGGGACTAGAAACGTGGAGGGATACGATAATGGAGGTGATATGGGGAAATTATGTGTTAGCATGTCAAGGATACAACAGAAGATAGAGAAGGGGTTGAGCCATCAAGACTAAAACAGAATGAGAGCTCCTATAATTTCGAATACCTTGTGGAATTAAACTCTGAGGGAAGAAGGGTAAGCAGAGGGAACAAGAAACCAAACTTCACAAGAAGGTACTTTGAAGGGATAAGAGAAATCCTGAGTACAGTGTATACCTGGAGTATACCTGGAGAAGGTTTCGGAGTCACCATCCCCGCGGCGCTGTCTGAGACCATGCCTTGTGGTGGATCAGGATCTGATCATCCAGGGTGTTACTGCTGGGTGTACGTAAACCAACAAACGAACCAAAGCCCGGTTGATCAGGTATTGGCTTTAGGTCCCTGTGCAGTGCCTTCTTGAAGACAGCCAGGGGTCTATTAGTAATCCCCCTTATGTATGCTGGAAGGCAGTTGAACAGTCTTGGGTCCTTGACACTCATTGGGTTGTCTCTTAGCTACTCGTGGCACCCCTGCTTTTCATTGGGGGAATGTTGCATCTCCTACTGAGATGCAACATTCTTTTGCTTTCGTATTATTATAATTATGGGGGAGCGCTAAACCTGTAGGATTATACAGTGCGTGTGGGGGGATGAAAGATATTCAGGCTCAATTCAGGGAACCAGAGTATAGATCCAATTAGATAAAGAGCCCTTCACCAGCGTCAAGGAATCTTTCTTGAGGGGTTTGCTTTCATAGGGAGTGATTTTCGTGTGCAAGTTTGGTACTAATCCCTCTAGGATTTTCCAAGTGTATATTATCATGTATATTTCTCGCCTGCATTCCAGGGAATACAAATCAAGGGACTTCAACTGTTACCAGTAATTTAGGTGCTTTATCGTACTTATGTGTGCCATGAAAGTTCTCTGTACACTCTCCAGGTCAGCAATTTCGCCTGTCTTGAAGGGGGAAGTTAGTGTACAGCAGTATTCCAGCCTTGAGAGAACAAGCGATTTGATGAGAATCATCATAGGCTTGGGGTCCCTGGTTTTGAAGGTTCTCATTATCCATCGTATCATTTGTCTATCAGATGAGATAGATACATTGTTGTGGTCTTTGAAGGTGAGATTCTCCGACATTATAACTCCCAGGTCCTTCACATTACTTTCTCGCTCTATTGTATGGTTAGAATTTGTTGTATACCCTGATACACTTTTAATTTCCTCAAGTTTACAATATTTGAGTAGTTGAAATTTCTCTTCCTTGAGCTTCATAGCGTTTTGAGTGGCCCATTTGAAGATTTGGTTGATGTCTTCTTAGAGTCTTGCAGTGTCTTGAATGGAGGACACTCATGACAGTTTGGGTGTTGAGAAAATACTGTATATTTTCCAAAAATACAGTGTATTTTGTATGTAAATTGATGGAATATATTGTAGGTAATAAAAATTAATTTGTAAATAAATAAAGAACCAGCGATGGGTGAGCGTTGGTGGGGAGGAGATGCCATTGTTTTGAATGGGGTAATGGCACACTAGTGAAATGTGCATAAATTTCATTGCTCTGGAAGTAAAATTGTGGGTGAAACTTCCCAAATAGGAGCAGAAATTGTTGGAATTGCAGTCCTGCATAACTTGAGAAGTCGAATGGACAGGACAACCATGGAACCCAGCTAAGTCATGTCTATTTTATGTTGAAATTCTGGCCAGTATTTTCTTCATATTTAGGCAGGGGTTTGTGTATGATATACCAAGTAATCTCCAGACAAATTGGTGAGTCTTATTATTATAAATTCTCCTTCAATGTATATGTATTTGGGCTGTATAGCCCTTGTGGCTTAGCGCTTCTTTTTGATTATAATAATAATGTTTATGTATTCACATTTTGAATTTAATATACAGTCCACATATTTATATTAATGTTTTTACCAGAATTCCTGGTGATGTATATTTCATTTGAAATTAATATAGGTCCAGAGTGACTTGTGGAGAGATAGATTGTAGTAGGCATCGAAGGGGGACATTTTTTGTGACCTAAGTGTCTAAAAATTCCTACTTGTCTCTGTAACCTTGATAAAGAATAATTATCTTTGTTACCATTTACTGGTATGTACCTTATGAGTTACATCCAGGTAAATTTAATTTTCCACAATAGTCATCTGCAAAAGAAGACACAGAGCAATTTCGTACATCTCTGCCTATGCCAGATATGAGGATTAGGAATAGGATGGGAGCGAGTACTGTGCCTTGTGAAACAGAGCTTTTCACTGTAGCTGCCTCAGACTTTACTTTGGGGCAGTGGAATGGGAAATGGAATGTTAGGAAATTTAATCAATTAAACTATGAAGTTCCTAGGCAGAAAGTACCAGAAGGCAGAGAAGAATTTCATACCCAGAAGTGACAATGGAAAAACTAGAGTCCTTGGTTCAACCAAAAATGAAGAGAAGGAAAAAGAAGCACAAAAGTTTGGAAAACTCTGGAAAGTAAAGGATAAAGAAAAAAAAAAAAAATGGAGGGGAAGCCAAAAAACAAATTTTCAAGGGTGTGCAAAGATATGGGTGACAATTGGGAATGAAAGCAGTAAAAGTTTTGTCTAAACCCAAAACTCCACATCACATGGAAAAGATGACAGTAAAAGACATAATCCGACGAAGAAGGAAGGAGGAGACTCACGAAAAATGAAAGAAAATTGCAAGGTTTTCTCCGTGGAAATGAGTAATCCCAGAGAACGAAGGGTTTTCAACAGGTGCTTCTACCATACACACTCACAAAAAGAGGTATAAAAAATTTTTTAAGGTGGTAATCTAGGCATTGGGACCTGACAAGTAGTTACCATGGATCTGTGAGAGGGGAGCATGACACTGTTGACCCATTTGCTCGACTACAAGAATTAAATGAATACTGAACATTTCCCAAAGTCTGCGGCGGTGAAATTGTTCCATTTTCAAGAAAGGAAACAGAGAGAAATCACTGAAATACAGACCAGTCACCGACTTCTGTTGTATGGCAACGAGAAAATAATCAGAAGTGTTAGACCCCTTGGAGAAAAAGTGGTTTCAGGGAAAAATAACTATTATGGATTAAGTGGCAAACATTGGCCGAGTGGTTGGGGGGGAGAGGACGTGTGGTGAAGGGAAGTCCTGGGCCCTTTCTATATCAGAATGTTATCTCACCCGACTGATAACTCACATGCAACAAATATCGTTGGAGCGCAGCTGAAATGCTGCTGGAACTTTTATGTGGAATTTTGGACTTTGATATCCTGTGAACCAAACATTTTTTTTTTGAAGTGGCTGTAGGGGGCTACACCTTCATTTCCACCTTGCCTCCCCCCCCTCCCCCTCGATTTGGAACTCGCTTTCCCCTTATTTACTTATGGTCTAGAGGGGGTTTTTCCCAACCCAAAAATGTTGGTCCCGTTCAGTCCTGGGTGCCGCACTCCACTCCCCTTACAAAGTCTCCTGTGTGCCTACCTCCCTGCTACAAGCAAATTCCTAGGGTTGTGTTAATTGCTGCGATTTGTTGTAACTATTTGCACGAGTGGATTTCATGTTTTTGACATTGGCCCCATCAGTCCCCAAGAGGCTTAAATGAGTGGGGAAATGTCGGGCCCTGGGGGGTGACCTTAAAAAATGGCACTATAAGCTGCTCCCACTTACACCCATACTGCGTGTGTCCAGGGAGGTGAAGTCCCTTTCCCGACTTTCCTTTCCCCCGGTATCCCTTAGCTCGTCGCCATTATCTCATTGGTAAGGGCGATTTAACCGACCAGGCTAACAGTTTTTTAACGAAACAAGCCAAGGTTCTCTATAAAATATTAAGTTTGTGCTGATTTTTTGTCACAGAGTAAAAATTTTTGTCTGTCTTCCCAGACAGTGTGCTAGCTGTGTTAAGTGCTGCGGGTTTCGGTAATTAATGAGTGGTGAAAATATTGGTAACTCTCGGGGGACGACTGTCCCCCGTGAATGACCTTGAAAAATCGCCTGCCCCCCGCAGGCCATTTAAACCCACTTTTGTTTTGGTTAGCGAGGTAAATACCCCTTTCCCTTTGCCCCTTCTTTTCACCGGTATCCTTTCCCCATCGCCGTGTGAAACTCTGTCAGCTATGAGTATAGCTGAGGGGTTGACGGATGAGGTGAAGGAGATTTGAAAACATATTTTAGTAAACGGCTCGGAAAAAAAAAACGAGGCTTAGAGAAAGTTGCTAAAAAAGCAATTTACATGGCGCACACCCCCAAAGTGTCAGGTTAGATTCCCTGACAACATGATAAAGGACCAAGTTTAAGGGTTTTTCGAAGCTGTGTAAAAAATCATGAAAAAACGATCAATTTGCCCGCGATGAGGATAACCGTCTTTGTGCCAAATGATTCACTTTTATAGACAAACTTCTCCTACAAATTTTCCCAAACATCAAACTCCGAGCTGCCCCACCAAGGGCACCAAAAGTGTTATTGTCATCTAAACGTCAAAAAAAAGCACTTGAATCCTCAATTCTGGGTCAGAGCATTTGCAAGCCCTGTCGACTTCCAAAACGGTCGTATTAGCTGAGTG